ACCACAGTGACTTGACCCATGGCCTAGGGCATGTCTTCGCCGCTACCGACCCCAATACAAATACAATCATACAGTGAACACAGTGAAATGTGATATCCCATCGCAAAACAAAACATGGTAAGTGTGATACATGTAGCATATGTCCATGTACTTAGTGGAAGATATCGAAACTGAATGTGACAACCGTTCAATAAATTATGTTTGCAACATATAGTGGCATATGTTCCTAATGATGTTGTACCTATGTTTAAAGAGAACTGTGAAGACATCGCACAGCCGTCTGCGAAATCCCCAAAGCATCAACACAAATAGGAGGGACTCCCAAGTCAGCAAGGATCCAATCAGCAAGCACCTCGGCTTTCCCCGAAGGAAGTGAGAAGATCAAACCCAAACTTCGGCGTTAAAGGCACTTAAGGTTTGGGGGTTCAGGGCTTGGGGGGCCTATCGTAAAACAAAACAATCATCAAAAACATGGGATCAACATTCGAAACTCTGGCCGTAATGCCCAATTCCTGGAAGACGCCCGCTTTTCTCCTTGCTACAAAGGAAGCTCGTCACCGAGGTGTCCGCACTGCGCTGTACGGGTGCATGTCACACTGCCAGTTGAAACTTTTATGACTATTTTCATCAAAGCCGTGCAGTTAGAGATTCGCGTAGTGCAAGTCGCTATGGGGATTGCTGAAACGACTGATTGGTGTACTTGTGATAGCCCATGAGATTTGGGATCTAGCAACAGTAGGGTACTCCGATACTTAAAGTAAACGCTTCCGCACACAATCCGTCTAGACGGTAAACTCTGAACCCTCCTTCGCTACATCCAATCCCCTAAGCCTGAAACAGCTCAGCTTGTCAGGGGCGTCGGTCCAACCTCCCCAGCTTGTCGGAATGAAGGAATGAAGGAGTTTGTGTATGTAGGGTTTACAACAATAATTCATGATATTCATGTTTGTAGGTACATGTGTACAGATGTATTGTGGGTGTACCAGTTTTGCATATTCGCCTACGTATGCAGATGTGTGTACTTGTTGACTTGTTGTTTAAGACCTGGTTGTGGTGTTTGCTTATCTACGAGTACACAATACAGAAGTGTATTCGCAAAACAGACATGCACCAACAAGGACATTTGCACATCCAATTTGCTGGAAACGGTGTTGTATCTCTGTATCAATACCCACACTCTACACCAGGACACACACACACAAACACAAATATCCACATTCAGGTTACACACTTACAACTAGTTGTATGTATGCATGTATGCACTTAAGTACGACTGTGCATGTACATATACATACACACGCCAAACATAACAAAAAAATGCATCTATCTATCTATCCATGAATCTATTTATATATCTAGCTATATATCTACCCATCGGTCGATCCACTCGCGGGTCTGTCATCTATCTATATACTCGTATACTGTATACATACATATGGAAAACACTTTTTGTCGACCAACTACCCGAAGTTGCGTAAACATTTGTAGGAATCAACACCGCCCTCAACTCCCTTTCCAGATTGGACTCAACAGCAAGCATCCCCCTGAACCTCAAGCCCCAGATGCCCCAAACCCTAAGCCCCAAACTCCTCCCCTACTTGGAGTTAAGAAGGTATTACCGAATGTACCGAATCGAATCAGTTTCAGGTCACCAATCCTAATGTCTCCCGGAATTCTTGGCACGATTCCGAGGCCGGGGAATTCCCCAATTCTCCGTTACTCTCGGTGCCAGGAAACGCATCGGTAATGTCGATTCTCCTTGTTCCGCTTTGTCTTGTTTTGCGCTGCCCCGGCCCCCTTCCCCCTGCCGCTTGCCGTGCCCCCTGCCTGGCCTACCCGGCTGAAGCTCATGATGTGGGACTTAGGATTAGGGTGACCCTTGGGGATATAGACCCTCTCAATAAGGCCCCCCTTAAGAGAGCCAGAAGTGGGGTTCAGAAGGGTCCCCTTTAAGGGGTCTCCCTAGTACTACCTAGGATGATGCCAATGGTCGAGCGTCAGGGAAGCTTTTTTTGCTTCTTGAAGGCGAGGTTGAAATCCTTCTGCGCCTGTTCCACAGCCTCTGGCTTCAAAGGTCCGCCGGACGACTTCGGCGAACCCCTCAAAGTGCTTCCATACCGTGGAGTTGCGAAAAGCCTCACAAGCCTCGCAAGCACAACCCGAAATCACCTATGCTGGCATGCTGTTTTCCGATGCAAACTATCCTGCAGCCCCGCCACGTTCGCCCCACCTTCTTCTGGAAAGCAGAAACATCTGCTTCTCGCGTTCGGAGCGGTTTAAATCCTTCCGCTTGTTGAGCTCCTGGGACATAGGGCTGTATTCTTCCGCATATTGTGTGGACGTTCGTCCGTCACCGGCCTGCGGGGCCTCCTTAAACGCCGCTCCCCTGAGACGACTCTTCAGGGCCTTCGCCGCCACCATCTCCTCCCTGCACACTGGACGGCCACGTGACATGCACGGAAATTTTGAATCCACGAGTCACGTTCCCAATGATATCTTCCAGATCGCCCCCCCCCCGTGCAGCTTGCCGCAAGGCAGCCTGATCGGCCAAGCTACACGCCGAACGCGCACATACTACACAAAGAGCGCAGTATCGCTTCCCCTGTGACCACGGCGGTGCTTGAGGTCGCTCATGAATGGAAGTTGTCTTGTGGATGGTAGTTTGTTTGTACGCCTTCTTCTGGGCAGCGGTAGCTTGCTAGCATACAGCATGTTCCCAGAAGACATGGACTGGGCCCAGAGCCTTGGCCCCCCAAGGCCGCCTTGAACACGCCTAAACCCTAACCCTGCACCCCGAACCCTAAACCTTAAACCGTCAACCCTAAACCGAAAACTCCCCCAAAGCCTCCGTTGAGAGGATCTCCGTCGAAATGCCGACCAGCTGGGAGTCTTTGGCGAGCTCGGAACTCTTTGCCTCGCTCCGTGGGTTTCACGTGTCGGGTTTATGAGGTTGGGGTTTAGGGCTTCGGGGTTTGGGGTTTCGGGGTTTAGGGTTTTAGGGCTTCGGGCTTCGGGTTTTGGGGTTTAGGGTTTAGGCTTTGGGGTTTAGGGTTTAGGGATTTAGTGTCCAAGGGTTTGGGGGTTAGGGTTTAGGGCTTCGGGTTTTGGCGGTTCAGGGCTTTTCGGCTTCAAGCTCGAGGGCGCGTGGGTTCAGATTTAGGGTGGAGGGTTGCGGGTTTGGGGTTTCAGGCTCTGGGCTTTAAGCCTCGTGGACGTGGGCTTTAGGGCCTTAGCATCCCTGGGGTTGCAAGGCTTTGGTCGATGCGAGGCCACAGGATGGTACCGGAAAGGTTCATCTTTCTCAAAGACCTGTACCTGTATCTATGCAGAGAAAGAGGAATATACATTTGTAGGTATATAATACTCATTACCCCCACAAGCGCGTTGCTGCGACTTGGTTCAGGCCAAACAAATACTCACATCTTCTCTCGAGATCTCGCTCTTCCCAACCGAGGCAAGACGACCCAGACCCTGTACTCCCTATCCCCTTAAAGTTTGGGCCTAGGGTTTAGGGTTTAGGGCCGAGGCCTAAGCCATGGCAACCAAAGAGACATGAAACCTCCAACTCCCGCACCAAGCAGACCCCGGACTTCTGAAGTGAAGCCTCCACCCGGAACAGTGAAGAACTGAAGCCCGTCTAGACCAAGACCCTCCAAGTACCCCCAAATAGGGGTAAAGGGTCCCAAATTAAGGGTATTTAGGGTCTAATAGAGGGTAGATGGAGGGTCTAGAGAGAACGTCTCTGAAGCCTAAATCCATGACAGCGGGAGCCTCACCGCGAAGGCAAAGCTACGCCCCGAATGCCCTGAAGTTCCGCAAACCCTGAGTGTGTCTAAAAACTCTAAAAAACCAGACACTAAAACTTAAACCTTCAACCCAAACCCAAATCTCAAATCCAAGCTGAGCGGGACGAGCAACCAAAGCAGCTTTCAGCTCGGTCGTGACACCGCCGGTCTGCGATTCCGGGATTTCGGGCACAGGGTGTGAGTGCTCTGGGTCCTTGTTAAAGGCTTTCATCCAGGTTCTCATAATAGAGAAACCACATTCCTCACTCACTATAGATCCCCGAATCTCGAAGCTCTTATAACCCCAAACCCACCAAAACTTCAGCTGAGCCCTGACGGGCGAGGCTTTTGCTTGGTCTCCGGGGGTTGATCCTTGTTGGCTTCGCCATCAGGTGCTATAAGGGTTTCAGAAGAGGTCTATGAGGGTTTACGAAATTTCTGCAAGGGCTTGTTGAAAGGTTCTATCAGGGATTTGTGGAGGTTCTATAAAGCTGCCTACGGGTTTGCATACAAGGGCCTTGAATCGAACAGCTTCTCAGCGACTTGACATAGGTCTTTGCTCTCTGGCTTTGAGGCTCGGGATTTCTTACGGCTTCAGATGTGCGATTTGTTTTCGGGGTTTCGGGATTAGGGTCGTTCGATGTCAAGGTGCCGTTTCTGCTAGCTCTTCCATCATCCGGACTTACCACGCTGCCGATCCCAGAAAAGGATTCCAACATTCAATAAGCCCCACGCACTGAGACTTTGCCGACCACTCTGGATCTTGCGATTTGGCGTTCACTTGGACGGTCCTGTGCAGATCCAAGCAGCCCGATGTAAAATTACTAGGCCAGGAACCCGGCCGCTCCAAATACGAAACAGACTAGAAGCGGCGGGATTCTCAGGAGCCATGAGCAGTGAAACACTGGGATGTAAAAGGTTGAAAACGGAAGTTTCAGATGATAAAAGAGTATCAGTGGGATCATGAACATACATACACCCTGTATTAGTAGGATCATGAGCACGAGAACGCTATAAAGACAGCTTTCAGAAACCCCAGGTTGGCTCGCACAGTCTCCTCGGAGAGGTGTCTGGGTCGAAGCCTCTATGTGCGTCGAGTGGCAGAGGGCGCGTGTCAGATGCAGCGACGAGATGCCACAGACCCTACAATAAGTTGGGCCCGAAACTTCGAGACGCGGCCCTGGTCCCGGTGCATGGCTTCTCAATCCTTGCTCGTTAGGCACGCCCGCCGGCCGTGTTTCGGGCCACAGTCTCGAAGATCACATTCACGTCGCGGAGCTCATCTGGCAAGATCACCGAGCCTCTGTCGCTGGAAGCGTCGACGCCAATGAGAATGGCTGGGACATCGTTCCTGAAATGCTCTGAGGTCACTCGCATCTTTACATCCCGGTACGAAGTACTTCTATCTCCGACAAACAAAATACCACCCAGAGACCACGATGCCTTGCAGCTCGTCTTGTACGTTTATGCAGGATTTTGCTCAGTGCTCCGATATCAGAACCTTCTGTATGACTGAATGGACATCTAGTCTACGGAACTTTACTTAAACTTTACTCCGACAAGTTCCCGGAGAGATGCGGCTTAGGCTCTTGTCCATGGTAACAGAGACTCTGCTCACCGAGTTTGGGTTCTCTGCGAGCACCTGATCAGCATGCCTGTCTCTGAGTGAATTCAACTCTGCCAGCTTCTTCACTTTGGTCTCCATGGCCTTGGCTTTTGTTTCCGGCTGTGCACGCCACTCTGTCGTGTCCCCAAGGCAGATACCCACGGCTCATTGTTTCAACAGAAGCACAGCAGAATATGTTTGCCGTTCTGTTTCGCAAACTCTGAAGAAAGCCAAGTTGCAAGGAGGATAGCACGTGAGGAGACGGACAGCCCGTACATTGCGCGGGCACTCTCCCCTAATTTGCAACCGCCCTGGCATTCGCTCGCAGCTGAAACCCCGGCAGGTGGGCTAAACGTACCCATAAGTGCCCTGGTACAGCTTCTGATGCTGAACCCTAAACCCTAAACCCTAAACCCCATACCTGCTACAGTTTCGGGTGGCTTTGCCAAGCTTTTGCCTTTTTGAGCCACATTCGCCGAGGCCTGGCTCTCAAGGTAGAAAGTCCTTAAGGACGAAATGAACCCTAAAAGGGTTTAAGGTTCATATACCATGCAGGGGTTCATAGTATAAGGCTATATAGGCCCCTACTTTTAAGGGTCATTTCGTCCTAAAGGGTGAGAAAACTGCTGTTCCAAGTGAAGCTAACGAATTGAATGTATCGATTTCATTTGGCACTACAGCAATCACCACACTCTCTAGAAACATCAGCAGGACACAGGAAGCGGACCAGGGGAAGAATCAGCACTTGACCTCTCCTAGTCTACACAGGAGGTTCAACAACTCCTGAGCCCTCACTTGGCTCGAAGGGTTTGGGTCTCAGGGCTCGGGCAGAAGGAGAAAGCTGCGAAACCCTGAGTGATGCGCCTGCACGACGGCCTGGATCCGAAAGCGGATTCGCGTGTCGTCGTCATCGACGCCATCGCCTGCATTGTTACAGGCGAAGAAGATGAAGTCACCTTCCTCCAGGCTCCCCAGTGGGTAGACCTCGGAACAGGGCTTCTTGAATAGGAGGCTGATCCCAGGAGTTTTGGTGATCCGAAGGACCGGTTTTGCACAGGAGAACTGAATTCCTGCAGTGACCCTCGCACGGTCATCCCAGCCGAAGAGGTACATGATCCGGCAACCACTTCGAAAGAAGTGCAATCGCAGAAGACAACCCATCGGCCACGATGTTTGGAAGAGCTTCGGTGTTTTTGTTATGCTACCCCTAAACCCTAAACCCTAGCCCCCTATAAAGTCCTGCCAGTACCCCGTCGGAGGACTGCCTATCCTGCAAATGGGCCCCCCAAACTTCCCCACGAAGCCACCAGCCCCTCATATAGACCTGAATAACTAGAATAGGGTTTGGGGGGCATATCATACTCAAACAAAAATAATAAGGAACCCCCCCCCCAAANNAAAAAAAAAAAAAAAAAAAATCGTATAGGTGTTATTTAGGCCCCTTGTTTTCGACCGGAAACCGAAGGCCGAAAGCCTTGAAGTCCCATTTTCGGGAGTCCGAGGGAATGGTCTTCAGGTGGTCATGAGTAGCGCAATCCAAAGGCAACAGGGTTTAGGGTGTTTTTGTTTTGAAGGCCT